TGGGCTTAGGCAGATGATGAGGCAAAGCCCAAATAGTTTTGACAATTGTTTTAGGGTTTTCAATATTTTGTTTTATTTCTGGATTAGGGTTATAGGCTTAGAGCGGCACCATTCCCTTCATCGTCTCCTTCGTCTTTCTTAACCAAGCTTTCTGAACAAACCTCCGCTCATGGCCACTAGACGCCACCGTCCATCTCCTCCTCCCTCCATGGATTACTCAGGCAGTGATGACACAAAGGTATGTGATTTCTGTCTTAACGTGTTTTTTAGGGCTTCAGTTCATGCATGTTATTAATTCTGATCTTCATGTTATTGATTCTTTATGTGTTATCTTTGTTTGTATGAGATGTGAAAGAAAAAGGAAGAAGAAATTAACCTTTGGAGAGGAGACGAAGGAATGGGCTGGAGGCGTGTCTCAGGCGGCCAGGCGGAGGGAGTATGATGCTGATGAGCTTTGTTCTGGTATTCCTGGTATCTTTCTTTTGTTAGGTTTTATGATGATAGCCCTGAAAACCCTAGCTCAAACATTTCTGAAACTTCTTTTCCTCTTCTGCTTATTTGAACGCTTGCCTCTGAATACTGGTTGTTGAAATGTTGATGTTGTTGAACCTTGTTGTTCTGATATTTATGATCTTGATGATTTTGATATCTGAGTTGCCTATTGTTTCACTTCTGGCTCTTTTACTCGATGATGAACTCAGTTCTGAGAGTTTGGATTGGTTTGTTGCTTTAGTGTTTTTGCTAGCTTCAGTTGCTTGACATGTTGGTTCAGAGTTGCCTTATTGTCGTTGTTGGCCCTATGATGAAGTCATTCTGAGGGTGGTTGTTTTTGTGGCTTGGATATTTGGATGTGTTAATGTTATACAGTTTGTTGGGGTTTATGCTGTATTGGTACAGGCTTGTGTTTTGGCTTTGGCTTGTATTTGAAGCAGGTAGTTTGGTTTGTGTCTTGATGCAGGCTTGGCTTGATGTTTGAAGCAGGTTACAGGCTTGGCTTGAGGTTGCAAGCTTGCTTCTGTAATAGTTTTGCAAGCTTGGTAGTTTTGAGGCTCTTGTTTGTTACAGGCTTGCTTGAAGCAAGCTTTATGCAGGCAAGCAGTTTTGAAATTGTAACAGGTTTGTATGGCTTTTGACTGGTTTTGATGTAGGTTAGGCTATGGCTTTTGTTTGTTACAGGCTTGCTTGAAGCAAGTTTTATGCAGGCAAGCAGTTTTGAGGCAAGCTTTTGAGGCTTGAGGCTGTTTTTGTTTGCTTCTGGTTTGAGGCAGGCTGTTTGCTTAAGCTTAGCAGGTTTGAAAAGCTTATGGTGGTTTACAGTTTGTAGCCTATCTTTTTCTATGTGTTGGTTCTGCCTCCTAATAATGTGTTAAGATATGTTTGTTTTATATCTTTTTAGCCTAAGCCTGCAAACTGTAAGCCCCTCTTCTCCCTCTCTTTCTCTCTCCACAGAAAAAGCATTCTTTATTGCTTAGACTGTACTATCTACTCTGAAAAAGGGTTGGCTGGAAAGTGATGAAGTGAAATAAGTTTGCTTGCATTTTGGTTTTGCTCTGCATATCACTTTTCTTCTTTTCCAGATTTTCTGCCTTTTGTGTACTTGTTGACAGCTTTTGGCTTTTGATATCTTTCTATATCTTCTTTGGACAGCTTTTGACAGTTTGTTTTGACATTCAGTTTGCTTAGTTTGAAACTGTTACTTGTTTTGGCATATTCACTTGGCTGTTCAGTTTGCCTCTTTGGTTGACAATTTGGAATTATGCAGCCTTGTATATTTCCATGTAGCTTTGTGCATTTGTTTAATATGCTGCCTAATTGATTTAGCTTGCGAGATAATTTTCTCTTTCCCTCTTTGTGAACCAAGAGTCCTCTTGTGATTTGCAGAGAGGGCAAACAAACTGATTCCGACCAACTCTTTTAATGATGAGCTTTTTATGATTAACTGTCTGAGAATATTCTTAATTTATCTGCATTTGACTTCTTTCTTTTCTTTTTGCAGGTAAATGTCAATTGAGCAATGAGGAGCAGCAGTAGAAGATGAAGATTTCAAGACATTTAGGATATAACTTTATTTCAATTTTAATCATTTGTAATAATATTAATGTAAATAACTGTAAATAAATTTACAGTATTCAAATAATATCTGTAACAAACAATTCAAAATGAATAAACAAATCTTTTTTGTCAGATTTCTCTTTTAATTCATCTTCAATTGTTTATTTAATTATTTATATTTCTTGAATTATAATAACTGGAAATTATCCAATAATTTTAACTTAGAAATGATAAATAATCAATAAACGTCCGGTGTTCCGAATAATCCAAAGTATTGCACAGTTAATCAAACAAACGTCCATGTGTCCTTTATCTCATTAATTAAATCAAACACTGCAAACTCTCAATCAGAAGCCTCAACCCATATCCCAGATGTTTAGACAGAAATCTTGGACAAACGTCAAAACCAGGTGACAGTCAATTAAGACACTGTGGATTCAAATTCTTCTAAAAATGCGCGTGCAAACCCTAGTGTTGGATTTACTATCAAAGAAAACATATGCCTGATCAAACCCTGAGCCAAACTCAACCAAACCCTAGCAATCTGCTTGAACTGATTCAAAAGTTAATGGAAACCCTAGTTTTGTCTGACTGACGAGAAAAGTCTGTTTGACTGATTCTTAAGCCAATCTGAAAAATCAGGAAAAACCCGAAGCTGTGATTTCTTGTGGAAAAGAGAGGATAAATTTTGGGGTACAACAAAATGGGTGTGATTTTTTACCTGAAAAGGAATAGTGACTCTCAACCAAGTACTACTTAGCCAACAGACATTTAAAGCTAGCATCGCAGCCAACATCACCACCCTTACATCTGAGTTTCACGACTTGAGATCTCCCATACCACCAACGGGGTTTTCATCCCTAACTTATAACACTAGTGCAAGAAAGACATTTTACATCGGGCGAAAAGCACATTTTACATCGGGCCTGGGTCCGATGTAAAGTCACGTGATATAGTAAATCAAAGACATTTTACATCGAGTAACAGTCTGATGTGAAAAACTATCCTACCACATCGGTTGCCTGTTAAGTCTTATGCGAAAAATAATACAACTTTATATTTTTTTTAAATAAATGCAATTTATAACATCAGTGGCTTTAATGGCCCAATGTAAAAGATGTGTTTTCACATCAGTGGTTGTAATGGCCCGATGTAAAATGTTTGATTTTTTTTTTGTAAATTTTTACTATTTTTTAGCGGATTCTGTGTAATTTTTTTCGGTGCCTAATTTTTCATATTTTTCCAACATCACACAGACCATATTTAGGTCTCTATTTTTCATATCTTTCCAACATCACATAGACCATATTTAAATCTCTATTTTAATATTTCTCTAACTAACAAAAGATATAAAAAATATCCAACCATTTATAAGTCCTTTCCCACACTAAAAATTAAAAAATATTACAGATTAGTAGCTGATTAGGGCATTCAGGAGTTAGGTTCAGAAAAGATTATAATATAAGCAATGATATATTGATATCAACAACAACTATCTCAATTCAAGACCATATAGTTACAGCACAATTAAATCTAACAATGGAAGAAAGGTGGTTATAGCTTCAAACACATTCAGTTAAATATTCTTTACTAATACTAACAGATAGTAGATTACAGTCTTACATTGTATCTGTTGATACTTATGAATGAGACAAAACATCTTGAACCTGAAACCAGACCAAGACTCTAGAGCTACTACAATTATCAACAACATTGATTGGTCTTGCATCTAGTACATACATGCCTTAAGATCAATTCGAACTGCATATAAAGGACATGTATCAGCTTTATAAAAATAGTTATATATATACATAATCATTAGAATTGTCTACAAATGTATAACATAAAACACAATAGCAATGCAACAACAATATACAAGCTCATAGTTTAGCTTGTGGGTACTTCATATAAGGGTGTGGTGTATGTAACACCAATCTATTTATGTTTAGTGTTGCTCAACATATTGTGCTAGCCACATTCGCAAACGTATTGTCTACTTTATATATAAGTGATAGTAGCCATGTATGTAAGCTTACAAATGACATTGGTTTCATTCTTAGATATATCCTAATAACCTTTACATAGTGTTAGCATTATATTTCAACATCCTTACTCCTATAACCAACTCAATTCTCGCTTAGTAAACATTAGATTTTTAACAAAAAAAATTAATTTTGTCTTAGCATTTTAACAAAGTAAAAAATAAAATAAAATAGTATTAGCAAAGCGTGTATCTGAACAATTCTGGTATGTCTGTAAGATTAAGAAAAGTGAGTCCACCACGGACTCTATGAAGTACAACCCAACCACAAATTTGAATTGTTTTACCAACATCACTTAGCGCCAATTCACCATAAAAATTCGTCCTTGTAACCCATTAAAGGGAATCACTGAAGGGTAAAGGCGACAGTGGGGGTTTCACATTAGAGGTGAGTGTTTCAGAAGCAAAAGGAAATGGTTGAATCAAAGCAGAAATAGAAGAAACAATTTTGGTTGTTGCAATTAGCCTTAGAATTGTTCTTGAAACCCTATGAATCAATATAAACACATGCACTCTATCTCGGTATAATAAGGCTACAAAATACCCATTGAACGATGGAATCCAAACACTAAAGAGAATGTGTATCAACATGAAGAGAATTTATAGCAAGACAGATCACAGAACATAAGCAACACATTCTGGTATGACATGCACAAAGTACCTAGAGCAGAAGTTTCTCTCCGATAAAACTGGTTGAAAATTAAATTAGATACTGAAAAGGCACATAGCAGTTATAGCACATATAGCAGTTAATAACAGACAAACAATCTACAATCTCATGTACCAGTATAAGTGGGATGCCACAATTACTTGATACAAAAGATGGTTTAAGTACAAATTTAACTATAATCGTAATTAGGTCAGGTAACTAAACACAAATATGGGAGTGAGTAATGGTGAAAATTACGTGAGCGGTGTTCTTGTAACTAGGAAGATGAGAGACTCGACCATCGTTAATTGCGGAATCATATAGTGCACCAGAAGGAAATTGAATACAATGTAGTGGAAAACTGAAAAAAGGAATTGATTTAGATTAAGATTAGAAGGAACCTTGAAACCTAGTTCAGACAATGTCGAGGGGATGCATGACCACGACAGTGGCGAATCCAACAGCGGCACCAGTGATGGCGTTCTCCCATTGCCACTAGTCACGCTTGGGGATTCCATTGACATATGAGTAGATTTGAAATTCGGAGTAGAATTGTTGTGTTACTCTGAGAGAAACGAAAAGGGGTTTACGGCAGCGTGAGAAAAAGGGAAGAAAGGATGAGTTCTAAACCTAATTTGTATTGGTTTAATTATATTTTATTTTCTTCTAAAAATACATGGATAACTCATCAATTTTATTAATGACACTTTTTCACATTGGTTGGGCATATAGCCCGATGTAACGACCATTGTGTTTATATTTTTCACATTGGGGCATATCAGGGTCCAGTGTGAAATCCTTTATAATAAAAATTTATTTTATTTACCAAACCGCCACCGTATTTTTACTTTTTTCATCATTGGAATTTTCACATCGGGGAAAATTTAGGCCCGATGTGAAATCCCTTAACAAATTATTATTTTATTTATCAAATTGCCACCTTGTTATATATTTCCCTAAATCAAATATGTTTCATATCATTGAAAATAAATGTTTATGTAAAATCTTTTGACAAATATTTTTTATATCATATATTTTTATACCTGATGTAAAATTCTTTAACCAAATGTCATATTTTTAGTAGTGTGACATTCACTTCTTACAACCACATCCATGAAGCTTGAGATCCCTCTTTTCAACGGCACCACCGACCCATTGGTCTGGATCTTCAAGATCAACCAATTTTTTTATTACCACATGACACTAGAAGACCAGCAGATTCACATCGCATCTATCTATATAGAAGGCGAAGCCTTGGGCTGGTTTCAATATATGCACTCCAACAATCAACTGATGTCATGGTTGATGTCACCTTATGAGGATCCTAAGGGTGCTCTGTTCAAGCTCTGTCAAACCACTTATGTGAAAGAATATCAGACTCAATTCGAAACATTAGCTAATCGTATCATCGGACTTCCTCCTCCATTTTACCTGAGTTGTTTCATCTCTGGTCTGAAACCTATCATCCGTCGAGAAGTACAAGCTTTTCAACCACTTTTCCTCACACATGCAGATTCCATCGACACAGTTCAATGACAAGATTCTAGCCCCAGTTGGGATCCACCTCTGTTCGAACCGAATTCAACCCAAATTAACCTTCGTGCACTTATGGGTCATTCCATCCTTCAGACCCTACGTGTCATGGGCCACATCGAATCTAACCCAGTTTCCATTCTAGTTGACAGTGGGAGTACCCACAATTTTCTACGGGACATGGTAGCAAAGTAATTGGGCTTAGCCACCGAACCGGCCCATTCCTTCAAGGGTTTGGTGGGAAATGACGAAGAACTACAGTGTACCACCATGTGTCGGGATGTATCATTATAATTGGGCCAACATGATTTTTGCTTGGATTTGATTGTTCTCCCAATTAGCGGTGCAAAACTTGTATTGGGGTTGCAATGGTTTAAGACTCTAGGCCCGATTGTTAATGATTGTGAGTAGGGATGGTAAAAAAATCTGTATCCACGAATAAAATCCGTTACGGATATGAGATGGATAACTTAATGGATATCCGTAGATAAAATAAATGGATATTTAGATATCCGTTATTTAATGGATATGGATACGAATTTAATAATATCCATACTCGCGGATATCCGTATCCGTTAATTAATTATAAAAATTATTTAAATATTTATATATTTTACTAAGTTTTATCATCTTCCAAAAGAATTTGGTCTTTTTTTTACGTTTTCTTTATAAAAAAAATTATATTCCATAATATATTATAAATCTTACTTTTCCATTTCATAATTAATTTATTTTATATGATCATTTCTCTTGCCTTCTCAGATTCCACTTCAGTGTTATCAATGCACCTTTCACCATAAAAATAAGGATTCATCTTATCTTCCTTATTTTACCAGCTCCGTACCGGCTCCATCGCAACTCACATCACAATCAACCATCTCATCTCACATAGGCAAGTAGTATTTGTATCTTTTATCTATACTTCTTTTTCTCATTTCCATTTCTACATGTTTAATAACTATTTTCAATTTATATTAAATTAAATTACTTGTGAATTAATAGTATGGATTTCAATATTCTTTCATCATAAAGATTTTTTTTTTGAAATTGATTATGAAAAATAATAATGAACAAGAGATGACATATAGCTCATTTTGAAGTTAACAGTGGTGTTTTTTATTTGCATGAACACTCACACTCTTTCAATAAAATGCAATAAAGTCATAAATATTGGCTTAAACTAAAGTGGTAGCATATTTTGGCTAATGAGTAATACATTTGCACAAAATATGATTTTAATACTCTCTACGTTTACTTTTCCGAGAGATACAAACAAATTTTGTTTTTTAGTGTTGCTATAAGGGTTATATACTTATATTTGGTCACCATAGTCATCTTGAATTGATTTATTAGCTTGCCACAAAATGTCTTTTGTATTTGTCTTTTTTGAACGTAATGATAGAATGCCAACTGAAATTGAAATATGACCAATTCCGCATAATTGCTATGCTATTATTAATTGTGATTTATAATCTCTTACTAACAATTATTTATTTATTTTTAGAATGTCTTTTGACAAAACCGTTACTCCTACCGAAGTTGTGCAAGAAAATTTGGCATCCTCCAATGCGGACGAGTCTAATGTCGTTGCTCCAAATATTCTGAATGTGTAAATTAATTCAACTCCTAATGAAATTGAAAGTCGGGTTTCATGTGAAGTTGAGACTGGAGGTTCTAAAAGAAAGCTAACTTCTGAAGTTTGTAATCATTTCAAAAGGCAAAAAATAGATGGAAAGATGAAGGCCATTTGCAACTATTGTGGTGCAAAACTCTTGGGTGTTCCAAATCAAGGAACGTCACACTTAAAATCACACGTTAAGTCCTGCCCATGTCGAACAAATAGAGATATAAAACAAGCTTTGATCAAAACTGAACAAGTTGATGGTCAGAATGTAATGGTTGGTTCTTATGCATTTAATCAGGAAATAGCAAGGCATGCTGTTTCTAAGATGATAATTCTTCATGAGTATCCTCTAGCAATGGTTGAACACATTGGTTTTGGAGAATTTTGTGCTTTTATGCAACCTTTATTTAAGGCGGTTTCTCGTAACACTATCAAGAATGACATCATGAAAATTTATAACGATGAGAAAGAGAATACAATGAAGTTGTTGTCAAAGAATCAAAGTCGTCTTGAAATTACCAGCGATATGTGGACTTCAAGTAACCAAAACAAAGGCTATATGACAGTTACAACTCACTTTATTGATGATTTGTGGACCATTCAAAGTCGGCTTGTAAGGTAATAACAATAATTTTTTTGGTATTCTTATTATTGTTTGTATAATGTTAGTAATGTTATTATTGAAATTTTAACTTACGGTAGGTTCATTTATGTGCCTGCTCCTCATACTAGCAAAACTCTAGATGATACCTTGACTCAATGTTTGATGGATTGGAATCTAGATAGAAAGTTGTCCATATTGACTGTTGATTATTTCTCTACGAATGATGCTATGATTGAGCGTATTTTATAAAAGATTACACCTAGGTCATTGATATTGGGTGGTAAATTGTTTCACATGCGTTGTTCCACGCATATATTGAATTTAATTGTGAAAGAGGGCTTGTCTATAATCTCGGGTGCCATTGAGAATATAAGACAAAGTGTTGTCTATTGGACAGCAACACCGAAAAGAGAGGAGAAATTCATAGAGACATGTGCTCAAGTGAATATCTCTTATGATAAAAAGTTGGTTCAAGATTGTAGGACTCGGTGGAATTCTACATTCTTAATGCTTAATGTTTCCATACAATATAAAGATGTGTTTGGTCGATTGGAAAAGAGGGATACTCAATATAAAACTTTGCCTAGTGAAAATGAATGGATGAAAGCAAAAGAAATTTGTGAAAGGTTATAAGTTTTTTATGATGTTACACAACTATTTTCTGGTACAAAGTTTCCGACTGCAAATGTTTATTTTTCTAAAGTATGTAAAATAAAATTGGCTTTGGTTGAAATGCTTTGTTCTAGTGATAGTGTCATTAAAGATGTGGCTTCTAGTATGCTTTCTAAGTTTGAAAAATATTGGAAGGTGGTCAATGGAGTGATGGCAATAGGCATTGTGTTAGATTCAAGGTATAAAGTTGATTTGTTAGATTACTTTTTCCCTTTAATTTATGGAGTTGAAGCTGAGAATGAAATTGAGAAGATAAAATCTTTTCTCCAAAATATGGTAATTGAGTATGATTTGAAGTTCAAGGAGAAGGAGAATGTTTCTTCATCCTCAAATCAAACTAAAAATGTATCTGATGCAATTGTTGTTGGCAAAAAAGAAGCTTGGAGGTCTAATTTTGCAAAATATATTAGTGCAAAAAAAAGTGTCACATCTAGTAAGTCCGAATTTGATGGATATATAGAGGAAAAAGTGTTGCCGGATGATGAAAATTTTGACATCTTAGGTTGGTGGAAGGCTAATGGATTAAAATATCCAATCTTGCAAATGATTGCAAGAGATTTCTTAGCCATTCCTATTTCAACAGTTGCTTCAGAGTCATCTTTTAGCACAAGTGGCCAGATTCTTACTCCTCATCGTAGTAGATTGCGTTCAGATACTTTGGAGGCATTAATGTGTGTCCAAGATTGACTATGGACTGATGTGAAAGGTAATCAAATTAATAATAAGTTTTTTTTACAATGATTACTTATAACAAGTTAGTTTGTTTTTGAAGTAAGACTTGTTTTGGTTATAACATTGGAGATGCAATCCTTGTACTGCCTTTTTATGATTTATTACAACTTAATGTTAAATTTTAGATTAATTTTTAGACTACTGTACCTTTTTATAGTATAGTTAGTGTTAACACTTAGAAAAATTATAACTATTTAGAATTTGAATATCAATTTCGTACTGCAAGTTTTGTTTAACTATAACAATTCATTGCTTCTTAAAAAAATTATAATCACTTAGAGTTTAACTTATTCTTTTTCTTTTTTCAGGTTATACAAAATCAAAAGTCGAAGTCATTGAAATTAATTCAGTATTGGAAG